AGAGTTTGCTGTCAGTTTGAATGGCATAATGAGGCTAACAATTTTAATCTGGTCATTACTATGGCAAGATCCAGGTCCATGACTTTTGCTAGTGTGTGAAAGAAATCTTGAAGGATTAGTAAGTATTTTAAGAAGAACAGGTTATATGGTTTCAAGATAGCTGACAGAACATACCAATAAAAGCATTTCTGAAAAATATTGAAGGTTTTGTGAACATTAAGTGGGTGCCTGGCCTTTGATACTGCAAAAGTGACTAGATTTCAAGAAAGTACTTAATTGACCATGAAATGATTTGACATGTCCTGGGGTCATGGAAGGCATTATATAAATGCAAGTTGTTTTCAACCACTTCAACAAAGCAGTATTCTATTTGACATTCTAATCCTTTGATTCATACAGTGACCTTTCTCCACTCAGAAAATGACAGCAATTATCTACCTTACAGAGTGCCTGAACACAAAGAAACTTGTAAACCATTGCAAGTTAGATTGTTACAACAATTTTTCATATATTGTTTTATGAGGAATGATGGTATTAAAATATGAATTAGAATAAAAAGTGCAGTTCTTATTTTTCAGCTGCACTGTAGTCGTGTGAAAAGGGTCATTCTAAATGTAGGTTACAAAGAAAGACTTCACTACATCTGGAACATAAGGAAAAGGTTTATGAGCTCATACATGCATTTTCAAAAAAAAAACTGTAATTTCTATCTCACAGTTGATTTGATATTAACATTTCCTGTCATAAGCTCCCAACTCTATCGTTGGTCTTAAGATGGAGCTTTCTATAAAAGTTCCAATTACTCATCTGTCAAATGAGTGTTAGGTACACCATCAGAGATAGAAAGACATTTGAACTTCCTGGCATAAACAGACCACCGTCCACTGGTCTTTGGTGGTCCTTTTGTTACATCTGGGGAAGCTTAACATAAACCAGGTTTTAGATGTGATATTTCTGCTAAGTGGGTGGTGATCTCTGAGAATTAATAATCTACTGACGGTTCAGACTCTAACAATTCAACTCAGTTTGCAGAATGGTTATGTATTTCCATGAGTAAGTACGTGCCTGTTGCCTGGTAAATATTATACATCACTGCTCTTTGTAAGGACCCTATGCTCATATTTTCCATTTGCAATAGAATAACATGCTTGTTCTAGTTGAAGGTTTATGTGCCTGTTCCTTGGAATGAATGAACTTTACTAGCCAAATACCCATGGTGTTGCAACATGGGCAGTGAAAAGAAAGTACAGTCTTCAAGCAATAAAAGTATGAAGGCAACAAATGATAAGCATCAGGGCATGCATATGTAATTCATATCCCATTCTAAAGTCCTATGTTCTGCCCATATTTTCTAGAATATTAGGTTAAAAATTAGAACCATTTGGGAGCAGAGAAATTCCATATTATGTGATTTCGTCACAATATGGACAGGATCTGATGGATACATTACTGAGGTGCTACAGTGCCATCACTGATGGGAGGACAGATGTAGTTACAGTGCAAGGAGTCTTATAGGATTGACTCGGGCAATCGCAGGATTTTTGGCAGAATTGGACAAGAAGTTCCACCAGACCTGTCTTGATATTGGAAGCATCCTGCTCCATCTTTTGTACTTTTCATGTATCGTGAGATGAGTTTCTGACTAGGCAGTGGCCAATTAACGGGGATTATCACTTGCTAAACATCTTATTAATTGCCTGATTAACATTCATATTTCTCTCTTAACGAACATGCCGAGTAAAGAGACGTCAAGAATTCTCAACATGAATGTCAGAGGCGAGGGGGATATCTGGTGAATTTACCTCCCCACTGGCTCCAAGGAGTCTCCATCTGAGAGCACAATCTACAGGTACCAGCCGCACCCAGCCCTGGTCCATCAGTATTGTTAACCCTTGTCACAGCCATTGTGGCATCTCTCTGATCCGCTGACAGCCCTCTTAGGAGGCGCAGACCTGCGTTGCAGGAGCAACTAGCAGTGAGAAACTGCTGCAAGGACATGGCTCACAGGGACAGGCACCCAGCTCATAGCTTGGATCAGGCTACATCTCAGGGAGTGGCTCACTTGCCCTCTTGGTGCTTGTTCACTCAACACCTAGCTGCATACTCACAGAATCCATGCCTTGCCTTGATGTGCCTATCAGTGCCATCACAAATAGCGTGCATAGCTGGTGCACAGCCTTTAGCCTGGGGTGTGCAGATATTACTAAATGGCAATGTGCTACAGCAATCTCACGCCTGCACTGCGTGCCAGCAGTTTACGTGGCAAACACATTGCATGTGCAGCAAGCTGGCAGCCGTGTTTCTCAGTGTGAGGGGAGTGGTCCTCACCAAAGGCATCCACCAAAAGTCCTCACCTCCATGAAGGCAGCCAGTCAGGAGGTCCTGGCACTGTACATGTAGGGCAGCCTCTTATACCAGTCCCAGGGATAGGCTACTGTCAGCTTTCTGCTGATTATGTTTCTCGATTTGGGGCTCCGGGCCTCTCCGGACCTCCAGGGAGTAGGTGACGATCAATCCTGTGGTTTGACAGCACTGATGCTTCAAGGTCAGGCTACTGTGGTCAGGGAAATATATACAGACATCAGCTAGGGGTCTAGGCATTTCTCATCCGGGACTGTCTGTGTCAGTCACTCAAGGAGGTGGGCCAAGGTAAGTCGATCAGGTCTGTCCGTGGAAACTATGCGGAAAGGGATTGGGAGGGAGTAAGTGGAGCTGTGAAAATGGGAGGAAGACTCAGCAACCCATTCATCATGATCGTCAAACAGCAGATCAAAGAAGGGGTTATTAGACTACTTAGCTGCACCACCTCTTTCAGTTGATCAATCCAGTTCGACCCACTCCTCCACACTTCCTACAAATCCCTGGAATTATCCTGTCCTTCAACCATTTATTGAAGGCTATAATTGGATCTCTAAAATGCATCTACTATCATTTCCCTAACTTCTTTTACTATAACCAGACAAAAACCAAGGGTTTGATTTACTCTTCAAGTTTACCTGT